GCTCAGAGTCCTTGACATTTTTATCCTGGAACTATGGCAACATGGTTCGTGGTCAGAAATACACCACACCAAGGTTTCCCCAAGGACTTGATAGTGCAATGAAGCCACGCAGACAGAGTGACATGTCACTTCAATATGAGCAATTTGAAAACAACCTTTTCTTCAACATGCTCTTCTTTTTACGTGCACATGTCGTGATTCTCCAGGAAGCTCATCTCCTTGTTCCTGCCAAGGAATTTATTGAGCAAAAGAATTGGACAGTTTGTTTCAATGATTGGGAGAATCTTGCAGTGATGGCTAGATTGGCACCAGGTGGATATGTCAAGGTCATTGCTGGACATGATCAAGAACTTGGTCACTGTCAACAGCGTGATGTAACTTGGGTTATCTATGAGATTTGTTTTGGTGAAACAAGGCCTCGTCAAGATTTCAAGGATGCAGACTTTGAATTTGATGACTATGGTCCTGAGGACCAGCGTGTTCCACTTACTCGAGCGAACATGCATACCATCAGAGTCTGTAATTATCATGTTGACACACACCGTGCTGTGGATGCCCACCGATTGACAGGAGAACAGACAGCATTGATGCTTTATGAGTGTTTTGTCTATGAGGTGGACATCATTTCTGGTGATGCAAATAGTTTGGCCTACAGAATGTCTGGGTACAAAAGGCAGCCAATGGCTAATATTATTACAGCACCATGCAGCATTGGATCCGCAAGTTTTCAGAAGCCCGTGTAAAAGCAGATCCTGGTATCAAGGCACCTATTCCCAGAACATTTTACAGTTCATCTTCACATGTCCTCAAGCAGTGTGAAGTTTACTTTGATAAACTCTGGGCAGAATATTCTACAGAAGAAAAAGAAATATACCAGGGATCACAGCTTGGCGATACGTGTTTGTCTACCATTGTTGAAATGGGGTCATTCAATGAGTGAAGAGGAATATGAAAATTCCACAGTGAGCACGAAGGAGTTCGTCTGTAATTTTTCAGAGAACTTTGCTTTGATTGACACGGAGGTTATGTGCTCAAGACCCTCTGACGAGGACAGTCATGGTCCAATGTTTATTTCACTCAGACCAGCTTCCTTTTCATCTGGAGACAGAAGACTTTATCGCATGGGCGCGACTCTTCGAGATGCTAACTTGCGGAGAAAGGAGAGACAGAAGCAGAATAAAAGGAAAGGAAGGCCGCCAACTTCTGGTCAAGCAGCTTCATCGACTGCAGCGGCTTAAACTCAGAGCGGAGGCTGAATCTTAAATAATGGCTAGGAAGTGAAGATACTTCTGATCACAGTTGATACTTTGCTTCCAGGCTTGACTTTAAGTTGCCAGGCTGAAGTTTTAAGCTTTAGCATGCAGATAAATATAGTTTTACTAAACAGATATTATCTGCAGGTAGGTATGGACAGTTTTTCAGAACTGATGATATCTACCACAGCCGCTCCTTTAAAGTGACCTCTAATGGACAACCATTTATGGTTGATGATTAAGTCATTTTATGGATTTGCAATTGTAGTGCAGGATTTTTTTTGTACATACATTTGCCGGTATCTCCTTCCTTTTGTTTTTGATGTCAATGTGAGAGAGTCCTTTTGATGCAGTTCAATTTTTGTCCTGTGTATGGAAGCGGCCGAGACCACTTTTCGAGAAGACCATTCCTCGGACCGAGTGATGTACGCTCCTTGCATTTTGCAAGGCATTTTAATTCATTGCATTCTGTGCGGTCTTGAAATTTTAGTTCTTTCGTTAAGCGAGTGTCGTTTACTGCTTTTATAGGTCTCTGTGCAAAAGAAGCCGCTTTCCCTTTGAATTTAGAAATTTCTGAAAGATTGACAGCTCTGGCTATTTAAGGGCTATTGAGCGCCGGTACATGGTATCTTCGCCGGTGAACGATACAGTCTCCAGCCGAGATACATTGTTTTTGACTTTGTATTTGAGGTGAGTAAGCTATCGCTCCCTCACTGTATCTAGTATACCTTGAGATTACCTTTTCTAAAGTGTGCTCACACACTGGAATTGGTAAGTACAGGGCACCGTAGTTTCCTTTTTAAGCTTACTAGAGCTTGCTGGACTGTTTTAGCCTTAAGGTGGAAAAATAGTGTGCGACATACGCAATAGGCTGGAGTGGACATGAATCTTGTGCCTGCTGAAATGTAGAGGCCTACTTGTACAGGTTCCACTCCAGTGGCCTATCTAGTGTGTCCATGCTTGACTGCCATAAGGCTCAAGAGGATAAGACTCTGCGCATAAAAGACACTAGCGGTCTGCACCTCAACCGTGTACGCCCTAGTCACTCTTTCACCCCCCCCTCTCCCTGCCCCTCCCCCCCACGGAGCGATACGACAGTGCAGATTGAGTGGCTCTGCCTCTTGTGGCACTGACAGAGTTGTAGTGTACTTGGATTTACTTCCGGTCAACCCTGAGGAGCCTCGCTGGCTCTGGACAGAGCGCAACCGCGCACGACGACGACGACGACGACGACAAAACGATAGTATTTACACGGGTTTGTGCACCTTCCCGGCACAAAACCCGTAAATTGCGATGGTTTTGGGCGGAGGGGGTTTTGTGGACAATGCGCATTGCCACCACCGGCGATGGACAACGCGTACGTGAACTATCTTCTATACTGTGCGCGTTGCAGCTCTGATTTCTCCGCTCCTTTGGAGCGTCTCCGCACCAGGCCCGTGGTGGTCGGTCCAAAACATGCAAAGGTGCCGAGGAGCACAAAACCGACTGGGGTTTTTGACATCTTGGACGCAGGCGGGGCATGCTGTCGGTCTCCCTTTTTTCGTCAGTCTGCTCACTTCGCGATTCGAAAGGGTTGAATTGGAGGACAAGTTCGAAGCACCTTCTCTTCCTTTTGATTGGCTATGCGCCTCATCTCCAAGACTCATGGAGTATTTGGTGGTTTTGACATCAGAGTTGAAACTCTCGTCGCAATGGATTCTGATGGATGGCGCGCAATACGGCGATCATGTTGCCGATGGAACATCCGAGTTTTATCACTAAGAGGGGGGGCAGGGCGGACAAAAAATACGTAAACGATATTATTTTGGGGAGCATCTGGGGTTCTACGAGGGTTTGCCTCCCTTGAGCGAGGATGGATTCTGACGGAGGATGCATAAAACCGCAGTGCTGTTGCCGATGGAACATCTGGGTTTTATTATAAAGGGGGGGGAGGTTAGGGCGGAATGTTTTCTTAGACAGCATCTCGGGTTCTACGAGGGTTTGATCCCTTGGCACGGAGGTGCTAGGGATTGTGTTGCCTTGCTGTTGCAGGTCATTTGCCTTCTTTTGCTATGATTCCATTTCGTTCAGATCGGCCAAAGGTAGCGCAGCCCCTTGAGGATTCTTTTGCGAAGAAGGGCTACTTCGACCATTTTCAACACAAAAGCAATGCAAATTCAATGGCGCTCTTTCAATGCGCCGTTAGGGGAGATTATTACAATGTGGCAATAACGTTATATTTTTTGGAACTGATCTGTGTGAGGTGGATGCCCGTCCAAGGCTATCTGTTCGCCTCTCTTGACATGTGAATGTCGATCGCCTTGTTCACGAAAGGTAGCCCTTGAGTTTGTCTTGCGAAGCAAGTGTCGGCTCTTCCGGGTCGAATAGTTGATTGCTCAATTCCGCCCCCCCCCCTGCGAATTGATTTTTCAATAGGCCCCCCCCCACCCCCGCCCCCTTGGAATTGATTTTTCAATGCAGACCAACCCGCTCGCCTTCACTAAATTCAATTCTCTGCTGGAGAACGTCTTCGTGAGCCTCTCATGATTTCAGGGTAGTTGAAACCCTCTTGAACATTCAGAAAGAGTGCATTTCAAATTCTAATCACGAAAGGTGTTCCCCGAGGGGATACATACCTAGAGTTTGTTTTGTGAAGCGCGTCAATTCTCTCGTGGGGAACGTCTTCGTGAGCCTCTTATGGCTTCAGGATAGTTCAAGTCCTATGACGCTCCGATTCAATGCTCACCGATGATCTGAGCCATGGGGCAAGTTTGTTTTCCTAAGAATCTTTTACAACATTTCGAGAGCATCTGTTTGAACATTTAGAGTGCATATGTTGAGGGCAGGGTCGGCCTCTTTATATGGCCTTTCTGTCAGGACACTGAAGCTATTTCTAAAATTCTGAATAAACTGAGGCGGTGGTAACAGGTGTACTACTACTACTACCACTACTACTACCACTACCACTGCCACTACCACTACCACTACCACTACTCTACTACTACCACTACTACTACTACTGCTACTACCACTACTACTACTTCTTACTTACTACTACTACTACTGCTACTACTACTACTACTTCTACTTCTACTTCTTACTACTACTACTACTGCTACTACTACTACTACTACTAGTACTAGTACTACTACTACTACTACTTCTACTTCTTACCAGCACTGCTACTATTACTACTACCACTACCACTACAACGGCAATTGCAACTACTATTGATATACTGCTACTACCACTGTTGCTCCTACCGGTGCCACTACGACCACTACTGTTGCCACTCTACCACTTCCACTAGTGCTACTCGTACTACTGTCAATCTTGAAAAAAACCAAGACATTGGCAAGCCAAACACTGAATCCAGAACGGGCCGGATTTTTGACTTGCTTTTGCAAAGTTCATTGGCTCAAAGAGCCAAGACCTGGTTAGTAGTATGGCTGGTTCTAGTTCGTCGTCGGAAGCAAATGAACCTGGTGGCCTATGTTCCTTTGTGCAGAACCTTTTGGAGGAGCAAGAGTTGCTTGCCTCAAAGGAAGGGGCGACCGGCAATCTAGGGGATAGTTTGTATTCCTTGCCGTGTCCTCAAAGACTCAAAGGGGTCTCGGACTGTGAGATGCTTTGTCGCCACTATATATTTTTTCTCTCCTGCTATCGTTGCTGCGCCTCCTCATATAATATTGAGGTCTGAAGGTGTGTTTATTTATGATGAGTCACTCATGGCTGAGAAGGGGCAAGCTCTATTTTTGCCAAGCTTAGGATGAGCGATTCGCCCTCTGATGACATTCCATGCGATGAGTCCAGCGACGCCGCCGTCGAGGGAATGGGAATGTTCCAATGGGTCAAGATCTTCACCAGCAAGCTCGGCTTGGACGCGTTGCGTGGGCGCTTGAGAAATACCAAGTGGCTTGGCATTGAAATTAACTGTCGCATCCGGTCACTGAGAGCCAGAACTGTGAACCTAATACTCCCATCTCATCTCGCATAAGGATGTCTCCCCATCAGGTAATTGGTGTACCATGGTTGGCTCCGGGGGAATCATTGGAAGGCTGATCGTGTACTGTGCTCCTAAGTATACTGCTATAGGCTAGGCTATATGTTCTATCTACTATAGATTATATCTATCTACTATAGATTATATACTCTTAACCTCCTGCTACCACTCATGGCCGCCAGAATGACGTCGGATCATCGAACCATCGGATCAGCAGACCATCGGATCATCGGGTCATCGGACCATCGGACCATCGGATCATCATGAGACCAACAGACCATCGGAGCATCGCAGACCAGCGGACCAGCGGATCATCGGATCAGCAGACCATCGGATCATCGGACCATCGGATCAGCAGACCATCGGATCATCTGACCGCCGGATCAGCAGACCATCGGATCATCGGGTCATCGGACCATCTTATCATCATGAGACCAGCGGACCATCGGATCATCATGATCAGCAGACCAGCCGACCATCGGATCATCGGACCATCGGATCAGCAGACCATCGGATCATTGGACCGTCGGATCAGCAGACCATCGGATCACCGGATCAGCAGACCATCGGATCATCGGATCATCGGACCATCGGATCATCGGATCATCGGACCATCGGATCATCGAATCACCAAACCAGCGGACTATCGGATCATCGGATCAGCAGACGCATCGGATCATCGGACCATGGGATCAGCAGACCATCGGATCATGGGACCATCGGATCAGCAGACCATCGGACCATCGGATCATCGGACCATCGGATCATCGGATCATCGGACCGTCGGATCATCGGATCAGCAGACCAGCGGACCATCGGATCAGCAGACCAGCGGACCATCGGACCATCGGATCAGCAGACCATCGGATCATCGGACCACATCGGATCATGCATCGGATCAGCAGACCAGCGGACCATCGGATCATCGGATCAGCAGACCATCGGATCATCGGTTCAGCAGACCGGCGTGCAGACCATTAATGCTGCAGCAGACCATCGGAGCATCGGACCATCGGATCACCGGATCATCGGACCAGGCAGCCCCACGACCATAAGTTCTGTTACTGCTACTGTTTACTCCTACCTACTGCTACGATTGTATGCCAACTGCACCTTGATGACTGGTGTGCGAGGCGAGTTGATCGCTTCCATGGACCCAGTTGCTTCGTCAAGTTTCCCGCTTTGACATGCCGTGGTTTCGCAATCCGAAATGATGAGGATGAGGCTTGATGAGGTAGGTAGACGGTTTCGAGCAGCGGGTCCGCGGTGCATTGGTGCCTGTGCCTGTGACACATGCGGTTAATAGACTTTTAACTTACTGTATAACTAACTGTATGACTGCAACTGTAACTGTAACATTTAACATGCTTCCCTTCGTGTGTGTAACTTCAGCACGCGGATTTCAGATGCGCGTTGTTATGGTCTGCGCTGATTTTTGGACGCTGATGCTGACTTACTCACTGACTTGACTCTTCAAAGGGCAGAGGGGGAGGGAGGGAGGGAGGGAGAGAGAGAGAGAGAGAGATAGGGAGCTGAGCAATCTCTCACAGGGCTTAGGTTGAGACGCAGGTGCAACAGTTCACCTGGTTTGAAGTTTCCTAAGCTTCCCATTTTTTACACCCGTGGCCCGTTTCAGGATTAAATTAGTAGTTTGGGTACTCTGTCTGAATTCTAAGAAGGTGACCCGGTGGCCCTGAACAAGCCAGGATTCTTTGGGAGGAAGCTGTAAAGAAAAGAAGGTCAGAACACCCGAACCAGAACCTGTGGTAGCAGAAAACAGTTCATAGCGGGCCGCGGCCAATCCAACCAAATTTTGATCGACCTTCGCCGCCTTCGCCTTCACAGTTCGCCAATCCCTACATTGGCAGCGCAATGGAAGCTCCACGCTCTCTCCGAACCCGCCGACTTGTAAGGATTCTTTGCGCAGAAGCATGCGCTGGAGCGTGTACTGGAACCTATATCCTGCAACTTGGCATGGCGGTGTGTAACTAGAATTTGAGTGGCCATTGGCCCTGGCCATGTACAGTTGGCCGTCATTCGAGTTGAAGAGTGGCGTGCTGACACCTGCTAATATAACTCTGTCGAGCAGCATGAACATGTCAACATTTTTCCTTCAATGACATGACATGAATCTTTGCACGAACCTTGAGGAAGGAGCTCAGCGAACACCTGGGCTTCAACACCTCCACCAGTTCCGTTTCTGAACCAGATCCAGTCAAGCGGGCTTGGATTTCAAACAACTTTGGTTCTAGAAGTGTCTTGGTGGCAAGCTGGTCAGTGGCGTGTGGCAGTGGAATTTGTTTTCTATGTCTATGTGTCTATGTACAATTAACAATAGTCTATATAAATATAGGTGGTTTGCGTTGCCATTGCGGCAGTGCCATTGTGGTTTTCCAGTGCGATATTGAATTAATGTTCCAGTTCTCATTTTCCTTCAGCCTAGAGACCAAGATTGCAGAGTCAAAATCGCAGGTCATTGACCGTTGAGATTTCACACACTTGAAGCAACCCTTGCCCGAATTTGCCCGATGCGTGCTGAGTCGACCACCACTTCAAGTACGTTTCTGAACAAAGAATGGGTGGGTTCTGCCTTCAACACAACCAAGATTGCACGTGCCCGGATGAGGAGCTGTGGCCTTTGCAACTTTTGAGGTACGTACTTACCAACTAGTACAAGCTTCCAACCAACCTTACCTACTACAAATGTGAGAGATGTGCTGAAGGTCAGTCACTGAATCAGAGATGCGCAGGCAAGTAATACTACTGATTTTGGACAGTAATCAAGTGGCTGATATAGCCCATGCGCTTAGCATTGGTCATGAGTCATGAGAGTCATGGGCCATTGGCCATTGTCCATTGTTGTCAACCGTCTGCTGGCGCTGTGTTTCGTATAATTTCCTTTGGATTGCCAGGAGGATTTGCTGCTGGCTGGCCCACCATGCCAACCTTATTCAAGGTTGTCGTCGCTGAAACGGCGGGTCGACTGGAATCCGTTTGACGACCCCAAGGGGGAAGCATTCTTGGACACTACGCGGTACATACGACGCACGGTATGCCAAGACCTGTCCGGAGTAGAGTTGACATTTTTTCAGCGGGCTTTCTGTTGGCCTAAGTGGCTATCGGCTATGGGTTTTTTTTTGGTTCCAATTGTCGGAACCTTTTGCGTTTTGTTTTTTGATGCTGACAGCAGACAGCAAAATCTGAGGACACAAGCGACCGACAGTGGCAATCCTTGAAGAGGTGGCTTGGTCCTGAACCCCGTACTCCGAGATTCTGATGTTTACCAGACTCTTTTTGTTGCAAGTTGCGTTGGAACTCCCGGAGACTGATCTGAACAAGCATTGGGTCATTTCCAAGTTGGACGACCTGCTCCGCCTGAGGTGGCTGACGTCATGACACCATGGCCATCTACTTGCCAGGGCACCTTCTTTCACAAGTACAAGGCCCGGCAGAACGGCCAAGCGGTGGCTGCGCTGTAAAGTGGGAAGGTGTCTCCACCCTGTCCAGGTCAGTTCAATTGTTCTCGGTTCATTGACTTCATTGTTGTTCAGAAATGCAACCTATGATTCCAAGTCTGTTCAAACAGGAACCAGGAAACGTAACACCCCAATCTAGACAGGGTGCGCACCGTTTTTTGCGCGGCAGAGGAGTTGAATTGTTTCCTGTCTCCACGCCAGTTGTTTGCCTCAGGATCCGAATTTCAGAAGGTTTAGGCTTCCAGGTTCCTGCTGCTCTACACCTAGACCTAGACCCGATGAGTTCTTTTGGCAACAGACTTTAGCTGTAGACTGCTAGACTATGATACTATGACTTTGACTATCACTAGACTATGACTATAGACTATGACTCCTGCAAGACTATGACTCTAAATAATACTGACTGCACTGATACTATTCTCTGGACTATAGACTAAGGGCCACTTGCCACTGGCCATAAATCCAAAAGCTTGAAATAAGAGGCCATCAACTCCCCAGCGCCTGTGTCGGATTACATATGCAGAGTGAATGCCTCTCTTAGATTTGTTGAGCGATGGTGATGACGACAGTGAGAACGATGAGCGGGTCCTTGACATTGCTGCGGGTCCAGATCCAGAGCCAGCAAATGCAAGGGACCAGATCGAACCAAATGTTGCCAAGCTGAAGGCACGGGCTCGGACAGAAAAAGCCAGACAAACGGCTTTGTTGAACAAATTGAAAAGGAAGCTTGGCAACGCTTCGGATGCGTCTTCGTCCACCGCTTCCACTTCTGTCGGCGCATCATCCTCTGATGCTACAGGGGGAAGTCTCAGTTGGGCGAAACAAATTCAAGATGCTTGTTTGACTCCACGTTTTTTTGCCAAATCTGTTCGAACAGATCCGTTTCGACCACAAGATAATCAGAAGGTGGCAGTAGAAAGGCAAAGAAGTGTTTTCAGCTTGCTGCGTCAGATTGTCAAAGTACTGGTAGATTTGCTGACTCCGTTTGCCAAACAAGATGGCAGTGGCCAGGAGGATGTTTTTCAGATCGCACAGGTCTTGAACGTGTGTGTGATGGATGATACATCCACGCGACTCAAAGGGGCTGTTGTAGGCGACAACACCAACGCCATACACAGTGTTATGAACGCAGTACACACAGTCCATGTGTTGTACAAGGGGGACCGTGACGATTCTGCGCAACATGCCGAGAGTTTTCTGATTCCCACTCCTTTGTATTGCTTGGCTTCCCAAAAAACTGAAGACCTCTACGCTGGATATAGTGCATATATGCTGCTTTCAAGTGGTGGTGTGGGGCATGCGCTCAAGGCTTTGAAGTGTCCTGAAACAATTTGTCAACCGGCTAGATGGAAAGCGCATGTAGTAGTTGGCGACGCGCTACCCACCAATGATGCTATGTTCAAACTGGAGCGTCGCATTCTTCTGGCTGCGCAGGAGGAGCGCAGATTGGCCATGAGGGTCAAGTGTGTTTTGCATCAAATCAGTTTGGCGAGGAAGATGGGGGTCCTATGCTTCGACTCCTTTTGGTCGACATGTGTGAGGCTGGCCCACCTATTCGAAAGTTTTTCTTTCAAAAAGAAGCTCTCCGTGGCACTTGTCCAAGTGTTGAGTGCACCTGGAGGCTTCCAACGCGCCAGAGCTACACTAAAGAAACGCAGACCTCAATGTTTGTTTCACTTGGTTTTGGGGGCCAAATACATGTAAACACGCGGGCTGCTTTAGGATAAGTTATAGTATGTTATAGTTATCCCCCACCAGAAACGGGTTTTCATGATTCATGATGCATCGGACCATCGGATCATCGGATCAGCACCGGATCAGCAGACCATCGGATCAGCAGACCAGCGGATAATCGGACCATCGGATCAGCAGACCATCGGATCAGCACCGGATCAGCAGACCATCGGATCAGCAAACCATCGGACCATCGGACCAGCGGATCAGCAGACCATCGGATCATCGGACCATCGGATCATCGGACCATCGGATCAGCACCGGATCAGCAGACCATCGGATCAGCAGACCATCGGATCATCGGACCATCGGATCAGCAGACCACATCGGACCAGTAGGCTTTTAGCTAGTTTGTTGGATTTTAGCCATCCTGAAAGACAAAAGGGACGGACGGCCTACTGTAAGTTCTAAGTCTAGTGTGTAGGGTGCAGGATTGTTAAGAACCATCTGATACTGTTTTTTGTCTCTTTTGGATTCAGATACCCAAAATCAAGAACGCGATGACAAGAGTTCTGGGTTGGGGTTTGGTGGAGTCAACGGTTCCGCCAAGTAAATAAGATTGACTTGTTGCCTGTGAGTCTGTCGGTGTCAGTCTTTGAGCTTTCTTCACGACAACCCAGGTATACCGGTCACAGAGTTGCCGCAAGAAGCAAGCGCGTGGCGACGAAGAGCAGATTGGATCCTTCGATCCTTTGAGTGCCCATCAAAACAGGCCACTGAAAAGTTGGCAAGCTTTCTCGAGTTTTGTAATGGCGACAGCAAATTGGACACAGTTACCCACTACTGTAAAGGTTGCTGCAGCAGTGATGAGGAGGCGTTCCAAAAGGCTGTGCATTTGGCAATCCCGCTTTTTGCCCGGGGATTTGGCGTCCCACTGCTATACCGCTTCAAACACTTTGCTCCGGCTGCAGGCTACATGAAGTTTGGCTGTTGCACCTTCAAGTTGCTTCCAAGAACCCTAGCTCAAATGGAGCGGAATGCAGCCAACAGCTCGCAAGAGGCTGGTTCAGAGATTGCCACCATGGTCCAGAACATTTTGTCTCAGGATACGTCTGCAGACCAAACAAATGCAGAAGAGCTCCAACGCATGGTCGATAGTTTGCTGGACAATGATTTGAGCTACAGTTTGCAGAACTCGGTAAGGCGCCGCCTTGTTTCTGAGCAGCTCTCGAAAGCAACTTTTCTGCAAGGATCAATGGTCATAGAGAGTTTGATCAATGTGTTCGAGCACGCAGTCAATTCTCTTTTCAAGCGCACTAGCCACCTCACTCGTTTGACCGGGCTTGGAAGCTCCCATCCTGATTACAAAGACTTGACTGAGAAATGTGCAAAGTCGTTCCTGTACATATACTCTGGTGATATGGGATACGATGTGATCAGCAAAACCCTTTGTCTTCTTGAGTCTGGGTTGTCTGAGAATGTGCACATGGGTTTGGAACCATCACCTCAAAGGTTGGAACTTCTATTTCAGTTAGTTTGCGCCTGTGCATCAGATGTGTGGCGAAGATTGGTCCAGGAGTTTAACCGGTATCCTGGAAAGGTCTTCAGATTGCTGCGGTGCAGCAGCCTCGCTGAATTTGTCAAAGAGTGGGACGGGCTTCTTGAGACCAAGCGCTTGCGCCCCTGCTGTCTTGACCCTGAATTTACAACGGCTTTGCTAGTGCCCTTTGGCCCAGAACCATTGGGCCATCAAGCTCTTCACAAACAGCTCATTTTACAAGAAGAAGCGTTGGAGGTTTTGCTTCAGGTCGCCACCTACACACCTGTGAATGCTGATGGTGTGGAGGTCAAGCATGGGCTCATGCAATGGGCAGTGTCCAAAAGGGGAAACGTGTATTCAAAGAAGCCTCGAGCAGCGCGAGAAACAAGCATTCTGCAGTCAGCCATTAGGAATCATGGCATTGTTCAAAGAGAAGTGGAGGCCATCACAATGCCACGGAAAATGGTTTCTGCAGCCATACATCGGCAAGCGGGCGTGCAGTCTACCAATCAACACTCACGTGAAGTTCATCCGAACAGCCACGAGATGTGTCGCAGGCCAATAGAATCGGAACAGCAAAAGCGGCAGCGAATTGCAGAAGCAGAGGCTAGGCGTGTTCGAGCCCTGTCAGGGTGGAACGTTTTTCAGCGGGAGCGCCTATGTGGACAGCAGCTGCCTATGGCCGAATACCAGGCCAAGGTAACTTCCTTGTCCCAAGAGTGGCGCAGGATGGGTCAGGAGGAGAAAGAGGACTTCCATGTGCAGGCGCTGCATGAACAACAAGTGAGGGAAAGAGTCTCTGAATCTGCTCTCAGAACAGAGAAACAGCTACAGCCTGACCTTCCTGAGTTGCAACTGACTCGTGATCTTGAGGAACAAGTGGGCAGGAAAGGTCTTTCCAAACTGTCTTGCAAACGCTTGGCCATCAATCAAGAGCTCTACCGTTCAAACTCACTTTGGTCCGCCCCAACGCAGCTGGGAGATGGTTGCTTGTTGGCAAACTGAACTTTTTCCCCAAACAGTTTACTGTTGGGGTTCTATCTTAGAAAGAAAAGAGCCGGCCACACTCACTGGCCGCGCCCCTGAACTCTGTGGCTGGGCTCCGTGGCTGGGCTCTGCGGCTGGGCTCTGTGGCTGGGCCTTGTCCTCCTCTTGTCCTCCTCTTGGCCGCGCCCCTGAACTCTGTCAACTCTGTGGCTGGGCTCTGTGGCTGGGCCTTGTCCTCCTCTTGGCCGCGCCCCTGGACTCTGTCAACTCTGTGGCTGGGCTCTGTGGCTGGGCCTTGTCCTCCTCTTGTCCTCCTCGTGGCTGCGCCCCTGAACTCTGTCAACTCTGTGGCCCGGCTCTGTGTCCGGGTCTTGTCCTCCTCTTGTCCTTGTCTTGGCCGCCCCTGAACTCTGTGGCTGGGCTCTGTGGCCCGGCTCTGCGTCCGCACCTTTCCAAGAAGGACAGAATAATAACTAGGGTCACTCAAAAAGTTTTTGTTTTCAGTTTTCTGAGCTTAGTTTGCTATATCTCCATCCACCTCCCATATATATAAATAATGAGCAGCTCTCCGCCATTTTGATCCTCGCTTAGTTTTCTATATCTTCTTCCACCTCCCATATTTATGAATACTAGCTGCTCCTCCAAAAATGTTTCAGTGTTTCAGTGTCAATGCCGACAAAAATTCATTGATGAAGCAGTTTGCTCTTGGGGTGAAAGTAGGGCGAACCAAGAAATAGTTTTTTTGACTAATATTGGTCTTAAACGAATCGTTGAATCGTTTTGAAGCTGTTTGGGGTCTATGCTTGTATAATTATTGTTTTTCTTTGGAGCTCGCCCGCTTTTGAGGCCTGTGGCCAGAGAGTGTGGGGTAGGAAATCGAATCATGGAGATTGAGATGTGAGATGTGCGCAAGGGGGGTGATACGTTTTCAAAAGTAGAGGTAGCAGTAGAAGAGATCAGAAGAATTACAGAGTGAACCTAAGGTGCTGGGGCCTTGAAGGCTGAATACATTGAGGTTACTTTGCCGGATACAGCAGTGAGTGATTTCCTCCAGGAGACCATTCACAACCAAAATTGTCCAGAGGACGTCGCCAACCACATAGGTGCAGCGCAAGGCATGGATGCTAACGATGAGCCCTGTTTGCCTGGCCTGCGCCGGAGTAGCGCCGTGTTCCCTGCAGCTTTGAAATTGGCAAGGGCTTTTTCCAAAAGCTTGGATGCGCGCAACATCAAAGCCGGCGCTTTGATGCATTTCAGCAGCGAATCATGTCCTTCAAAAGTGTTTGCTGCATTCTTGGGCGTCACTGTGAAGAAGCCGTGCCTGCAAACTTTGATCACTGCCCGCGTGGAGGATAGCCAAGCGTCCTTCCAATTGGATGACGCAAGCAGGCTGCAAGTCCGCATTGCGCAAGAGATTTTCAGCCACATGCTTCAAGAAGCTAGTGAAAGAGGAGTCCCATCTAAAGTGTTCGAACTCGCAGTTGAGGTGTGGCAGTGGAAGCCTTTCTTGGATCAGGATGGATGCCTGCAGGTTCGTGTTGAAGACATGCAGGTTCAATTCCATATCAATTGCAAGACCGAGGCCAATCCGAATCCTACTTCAACGAATTCAAATTTGCCATTTGGCATGAAGATGCCTCGCAAAGAAAGGAGAAAAGGTAGAAAGGGTCCGGGTGTTCTACAAAAAGCAAAGGTGCCAACAAAAGGAGGTGCTACTTCTTCTAGTTCTTTGAACAACACTGGGGTGCAGCATCATGGACTTGACGCCAAGGGTTCAGCTGCAGATGCAGCTGATTCCTTTGATTCACAGTCAGGGTCAGAGTCAGACGATTCAACCACCTCGGTGCTAGGAAACGTGGATGAGACGGAGCCAGTTGAACCGATCAATGAAACTATGCGCGCTGAAGCTCTGTCTGCTTCTGCAGTGGAGGCTGAGGTAGCTTCAGCGGCAGTTCAAGTAGCAGAAGCAGAACGTGCTGCCGGTGAAATTCCTCGAGGGTCAACATTCTTCACCCGCAAATTGGGTCTTGGCTCAGAGCACGGCCTTGCAGCCAGTGGCAGATCAAAGTGTCATGTGTGCCACGCCTTAATCCCAAAGGGTGATGTGAGGTTTCAATGGTGGTGGCACACAAAGAAACCAAATGCGTGGTTGCATCCGTATTGCGTTATACAAGCTGCAGACAACATCAATTTGAGAACTGATACTGTTTCAAAGCTGGAACTTGTTTCCAGGGACTTTGAAGTCGCTTCTGTGCAGGCTGCAGCGAGCAGCATTTTGGAAAGCTTGTTGGCGTGAGAGAAAATCACTTCAGGTTCTGGACCAGGTCTCTTCCCATGTGTCTATTGCATTTCTACATGGCCCATGGGCCAAGAAAAGATATCAAGTTTCAAGTTCCAGTTAGGGGCAAAGAAGTGCCAATTGCAGATGTACCTTGCAGATGTCAATACATCTGTTTCTTTTAGAGCTGTTTGGGCTGATGCAAAGACCATCTAAAAGGAGCAGGACTTTGGAACTTACAACCAACCGCGGGGTGGGACGTCGCTCTATGGGCACCAACAAACCCTCCATGTAGCCCAGCTCCCAAACCTAGCTCTTGTTCACCTCGCCTCCGCCCGCTCAGTGTCCTCTGGATTTTATGCTATCTGGAGAGATGGAAGCAAGTGGCGAGAAAGTTGGATTGAACCACATCCCGAACTATTGGTTGACGACTATGATTTTAGAGACTCTTGGCCTTGGCCCATCCTTGTCCTCAGATGATTTTAGGGAGACTTGAGTGAAATTCGCCAGAGGCTAGATCAACCGCTCAAGCAGTTGATTCCACAAGTTTGAATTTTTTGTTCTTCAGATTGACATTGAGTCATTGACATTGAGGACTTCGCACTACCAAGTTCCTCAGACGAGGAAACGGCTTTACATGGTCTTGGCGCGGAAGGACGTGTGCTCAGAAGAGGTTGTTGTCAACCTGCCCGAGATTGCTGGAAAGGTGCTCTCAGAGGCGATGCGAGAAGCCTCCCGCCGGCCAACGATCCAGGAGATCATGGCCCACAATAGACAGGTGCTCCAGATTTTGGAGCGGCGCCCAACCTTCCCAGCTGTGTCGCAGGACCACCGCCCACCCTGGAAACAGACCCGAACAGACCCCACCAAAAAAGTAAATCTCTGTGTCCACGGCCCAACGTTTCCACGTTCCAAGTTTCCACGATTCCTGGCGGTCATGCCTTCCCAGTGTTTTTAGCACTCCAGGTCCCAGGCTCTACCTGTAGACTAGTTTAGTCAGGAAGCGGCTTGCAAAATTTGCTGAAGCTATTTCCAAAATTTGTTGAAATCGTCCACCAATACTAGATTAGTCAGGAAGCGGCTTCCAAATTTTGCTGAAGCTATTTCCACAAATTGTTGAGAATTGTCCACGACAATTCTGGATTCCTCACCCGCCCCGCCCTTTGCCCGCCCCTTTCCTGCAGGACGGGAAGGTGTCCAAGTCCACCAAGCTACTGGTGAAGTCGTTCAAGAAGAATCTCGGTGTCGCTCCGTACGGACCAGTGGAGTGCTACTCGAATTCCGAGCCGGCAAGGAGCCAGCTGAACAATCGAGAGCGAGATTGTGTCGATGTTCACTATGCAAGCTTGCAAGTTCTTTGACTTTATGTTTGTCTTTGTCCTTGTGAATGTTCTCAATTTCAGTTTCTGTTTGGACCTGGATGAGATTTGACTGTGTTGTTGGACGGCTGACTCCTGACTTTAGGATTTCGGGGTCGGGTTGAGTTAACATTGTATCCATACACAAACTGAAGCAAATTAGTATCTCATCTCATCTCGGTATCTCAGTAGCCTTAAAGCAGATCCAGATCCCAGTTTTCCAATAATTTTCAAGGTTGACTCAGTTTGACAATTTTCAATAAACATAACATAGATAGAAAAAGGGACCATTACGTAAAGAGTATTCGCACTATGAATATACTAAGTTATGTAAAACTTATAACTTATAACATTGTTCCATTCTTCGGCTTTGGGTTCCCGACATACCATCCTAACATAGAGAGTTGGAAGCCGCTTCAAACCGCTTCAAGCTACTTTCTAGCAAGTAGCTTGAAAAAGCTTCAAGCCGCTTCAAGCTATTTGCTAGCAAGTAGATTGAAACCGCTTCAAACCGCTTGAAGCTACTTGCTAGCAAGTAGTTTGAAGCCGCTTTGAGCCGCTTCAAGCTAGTTGTAAGCATGCAATCAGGCAGCCCCCACCCAGGGGGGAGAGTAGCTTCAAGTGGCTTCAAATAGCTTCAAGTAGCTTCTTAAAAGCTAGCGCAAAACGCATGCTTACAATTAGCTTGAAACCGTTTGAAGCCGCTTCAAGCTATTTGCTAGCAAATAGCTTGAACCCGCTTAAAGCCGATTGAAGCTACTTTCTAGCAAGTAGTTTGAAGCCGCTTCAAGCCGCTTCTAAGCAACCTTTTTATGTGTCTTCTTATGTCTAATATTTGAACATGTATGTTATGTTATTTTAAAAAAAATGTTTAATTAAGCTTATATAACAAAACATAACTTAGCTTAACTAACTAAGTATATCAAGATGAAACAGACCACAATCGTATAATCATCGCAACCATATAGAAATTGTTTTTCTTAATTAACTTAAACTGTTAATCATGTTCCACGTTCTACTAAGTGTTGTTTTTTATACATTATTTAGTTTAGTAGTTAAGTATGTCAATATTGTAATTCGTCATTTTATAGTTTGTTTGCTCTGATACTGTATGCTGTATGCTGTATGAATACTGAAATACGCTGCACTCACTACTGACACTGACACTACTTAACTACAACTTTATCTTACCTGCAGTTTTTTGAGTTTGAATCACTCATCCCAGTCACTACTTCTCCAAGTTTCTTAAGCAGCTGAAGCAAAAGGAAGGAATGTTATCGTAAGACTGTGACTGTGACTCTGACTGTAAAAAAGTACGGTCTATGACTAGACTTTAGCGTGTTAACATCTAGGATCTCAGGGTCTCATCAAACAACTCACATTTGATAAAGGATGTAATGTACACAGCTTTTCTGAAATCATTGTTCACGCACAATTTTTCCATTCTGGATTTTGGACCAAGCATATTTTTGTTTTGTCTGGAGAATCATGAACCAGAGTGAGACAGGAAACAGGTTTCAATGGAGTGGTGCTTCGAACAGGCCTTACTAGGCGGTAGTCAGTGGCTACACAGCGGTTTCGTAGAGCGAACGAGGAAATAACTATAGGTGTTGTGAGTTGTGAGTGTTGGTTGTTATGTTATGTTATGTCATGTTAAACCCGGACGGACCCCAGAACCATGACTACAATGTTCGATCGAGGCAAGCGGGATTGACCCAGAAAAAGCTCAGTGCAATGTCGATGTAGCCCGCCACCTGCCAGCACTTTTTCCATGTAGGTTCTGTTCAGTGCATTTGGGGGGAACTCGGGTGCCAAGTGTCTGTGCTTCTGCAAGTTTTTGGATGAACCAAAGACGGTATGGAATTTAACTAGCATGAATGAATCAGCCAGGGCGCAAAAACCTGAGGAAGTATTGGCAGAAGACACATCGGCAAATGGGGTCGGACAAGTGCTCTCACCAGATTCGTGAAAATCTGGGACTTCGAGCCACAATCCTTTCTTTCTGGCGAAGACTCCTGAAAGCATTGAAGGTGCAAGCGGAGCATCAGTATTTTTCTGAACCCTTAATGTCTTCATGTGTGTCACTGCGTCACATGAAGATATGTGAAGGTGTCTGTCTAACTTCCTCTGCGGCTTGACTTCTGAGGACCTTCTGATTCTCCAAGGCTTTCAGATCGAGAAGTTGCGGCTAGATGGTATGAAGTACTCAGATTTGGCAGCTTTGAGTGGACCCTTGTCCCTGTTTGGAGATTCTGTTCGTGTAGACAGCTGTAGACGTGCAGGGTTTGTCAAAGGCGACGGGGTCACCATGTTCTTTGTATTCTGATACTTTGCTCAGGGATTGAAACTAAATGCTGTCCAAAACCTCATCCTTTGCTTTTGAGTTTAGTTACTTGTAATTTGTAACTTGTAACTTAACCTTTAGCAATTTGTTTGTGGTTGGTAGATGGTAGATGGTGCAACCGCATCGTGTTATGGGGTTGGTAGGGTCCATGGTGTCAAGCACCACCACATCTTAGGCGACAGCTGGACTGTTCCGGTTGCAGGAGCATTGATCACTACCGTCCTGGCTTTTTTGCTTCCTTACAAGCTGGGAAAGAAAGCGCCAATCCTTTTGAGCGATTTTTTGACCCACAATGATTTCCCAATCACAGAGTCAGAGTGGTCGTTCATTCCGTCACCTGGGGAGGTTTCAACTTGTTCAGATTCAGAACCTGAACCACATGTCGAACCCGTGCCGCTGCCCAAAGTGAAACCGTTCAGCAGAACGCTGACAAGCTGGCATACCAGGGCGCTTTCGCCACGCTTTTCCGACCATAGTTCTGATGATGGCATTGGCTTCGGCGGCGTCAGCAGAGGATTTCTTGGGGGGCGGGACGCTTCTGCGCCAAGTTATGCGAAGGACTGAAGGATTCATTTTGAGCTCAGAGTAATTCAGAGCCTGATCTGGTTTGGACCACACGTAGGAGCAAAGATAGCGCTGCAATTTGCTTTAGTGTTTGGTCCAGGTTGACCGACCAGCAACGTGACATACCCAGTGCAACCCAGCAAAAATAACTGAACAGATTTGCAGTGCTGCAGCGCAACTTCCGCTTTTGCATTTCTTCAGTCCGGGTCCGGGTTGTTGAATGGATGTCAAGTCGAGGCATGTCGCTTTTTCTTGTTTACTGTCACGAGTCACTGTTGTTTACCGTAGCTACAACAATGTTTGCCGCTCACTGCTCACTGACTTATGCTTTGTTGCTGCCTGATTATGATTCCAAACTTCAAAACTGTCTGCAAACATTTGGCTTTGGTCTTGAAAACAGTTGGAGTCGGGTGAACGCGAGTCACTAGACTATAGTGACTTTTTTGACAAGCACTTCTACAAGTTCTTGCGCCGGCCGGGCCATGCCCACTATTCCTGGATCAGATGATGAGAAGGTCATGCCTCAGCAGCCAGCCGAGGCCAAGCCTGGGCACACTGAGGAAGATGAAGATCCTAGCGGTGATGAAGACATCCATGTCGAGCCAGGTGTTTGCCCATGTTGCGAGCAACGCATCGGCGAACAAGACAAGGACTCAAGAGACAAGTACAGTGGCAGCACTTCTATATATCTATGTCATTTTTGAAAGAACTTATATATATATATATGAACATTGATATTGATATGATATATGTGCAAGGGTAGCCACGGACTTGCATAAGCGTTTCAAGGTGAAGCGTTTCAAGGTGAATTCGCGCCCCCTGTAAACTGCGGAACAAAGCTTGATTGAACCCAAAACCAGGGACCAGGCCATTTCCACAGACCACTCCTACTACAGTTGATGGAGGAAACCCTGTGCCTGTTCGACGCATAACTCACCCACACCTCACAGATCAGCAGCCCTGCCCCTATATATTCAATGCTGTTGGGTTGTGCAAGCAGGTGGTGCAGGATATTCGTCAATGGGACCTTGACCTTTGCAGGCGTTGATTCGATGCCGGACCGAGCAATGTTAAACAGGGAGCCAGAGGGTATAAGATATGATATGATTTGATATGATGTGATATGAGTCGCCTCTTTTCTTGAAAGGGTATAAGAAATCCTGCGCTACTTCTATGATGGTCCATGGTCCATGGTCAACCGCCATATGACCATCATAGAAGTAGTGCAGGATTTCTTATACAGTAGGACGACGACGATGACGACTGAATGTGCTCGGATGAGAGCTGGCTCGGCGACCGTCATTGTGGACAAGCTCCACCAACTACCGCTTGACATTGTTGCTGTTGCGCAGTCCGGATGGATGAGGATGACGACGACGAGTTGAGGAGCAGGATGAGGATCGAGCATCAGTCTAGTGTATTGCGGTAGCGCGCATCCCGCTGATGGCCCAGTGAGGATTGGTAGCGTGGGCCCTGTAGCTCGTCTACAGTAGTTAGATCGAGCTTGAGCTCACCCAACACAACGCCCTCTCAACAACCCCTGCTCCTCCTGCTATTCTGCCCTTGCCCTGGCGCTAGGATTAGGAGGATTAGCAGGCAGCCTCACGTGGTTCCTGCAGCGTTATACTTTTGGTCAGGGTATTGTGTAATGATAAAGCTTAAACTTTATAAATAGTTAATAATTCAAATAATTCAGCATTTGTATTGCAAACAGTATTCCAAGTGTTTCAGCTTTCAGCGTTGGCAATTTCTGCGCAGATTTATTGAAGTTCAAGGTCTTACTGACTGTTTCTTTGTGGGACTTTCCAGTTCCCAAGCTGTAGATTGCACTTTAGTGAGCTGAGCGAGCTGTTTGTTGATCTTACAAAGTGGTGGCAAGTGTATTGTGGGTCTCATGTCAGGACGCGCTTCCAGGAGTGACCATGACAGTGACAACTCCGAAGCAGGATGCCGGACTTCCGATTTGTCTGAAATGCTCCTATATAAAGCGCGGCTCCTTTAAGAAGCTCACAGTCGGTGAATTTCTGCGGCTGAAGAGGAAGTGCCGCCCACTGAGCGACAAGCCACCCGACTGTTGTTGAATGGGGGGGTATGGTTGGGGTTGCGCAGATTTGAGGTTCCAGACTCGACTGTTTTTTCTGGCAACACCCAGAAAATTACCAATGCCGCCGATGACCTTACACGGACTCTATCTCACCCTGACCCTATCACCAATCATTCAAGCTCCCACTGCCCAACTGAGGATCGCCAGCTTGCGCCGGAAGTTGGTCCAGGCACTATGCCGGAACCCCAAGGCGAAGCCCAGGCATGAGGTTGTGGACCACAAATTCTATACTACTCGCACGTCTTCTGATTACATTGACTTCCGCCAGGCAGGATTCGGGTTATGCGTTCCGGCTGCCTTCGGTCAGCTCAGTGAATTCTGCGCTCTTCTCGCTTTTTCTACAGCAGTTGAAAGCTAGATAACACGCGCAACTTCGCCTCTCTGAGTTTAAGTCTGTTCTGCTCAGCGCACTGTGCAGGAGGGGACATGGCACGACTTGAAGGAGTATTTTGACAAGGTCGCTGATGAAGACAGCAAGAAGAAACTTCGCTCTGTCTCCCAAAAGAAGGCTTACCTTGAGAAGCTGGGGATCAGGATCCAAGCTGAAACTTGGCGTGTGGAATGTGGGTGGGCTGTGCTTGTGAAAGGCTAGTTAAGCTGGCCGATGAGGTGTTTTATCATAGTCTTGGGGGCGAACTCTCATGGTTGGCGGGTTCAAGATCAACATTTGGAAAATCAAAAACACTCTGGACTCGGACTGATCATTGAACCCCTGGATGTTGATTCATTGACTCATTGAGGACTTTTTGATTTAATTTAGGTTGCCCATCGCCTCGCATTCATCGCTTGCGAACTTGCAGATGTCGCGGGCATTCTGAGGATGAACGTGGAGTGGAGGGTGTGGTGATCATCGAGGGTCCGAAGAAGGTTCTTCTGGGCCATCGAATGTCTGCGTCTAAAACAAAGCAGTCAGAACATGCGGACAAGGCATCCATGGATGAGTTGCAGAAAGAGGACGCAGCGAAGTTGCAGATCAGTGCACAGACTAAGGAGGGGGTTGCTCCTCATTCAAACTCAGCCTCTGTTGAAACATTTCCAACTGTGTTTCCTCAGGCTTTGGCTTTGAGGCCATTGCCGGTGAGTTTTGTCTTGGGTTCGGGTCCGGGTCGAGGGTTGACAGGTCGGGTGGAGGGTTGAAGATTGCGTCGACTGCGCAACTTTGAGTGTGTGTGTAACCCTTAGAGTCACAGGGATCCAGTTGGGTTGTTGCGGATGCAATAGGAAAGCAGGGGGCACCTGGAGCAAAGATAGGGCAGGCGCCAATGAAGACACCTATCTCTTGCTTGTGATATCAACTCGGGACGCCGAGTTGACGTACCTGCATTTGAATGTTGAGAACCTAAGTATGGCAAAAGCCTAAAGCTGTCCAATACGTTGTTTCTGCTTTCCGTCTTTCTGCTGTAAAGGGCTAGCGCATCGACGATTCACCTCGGATCTTTCGTGAGCTTGAGACTTGATCTTGTTTTGAAGGCAGTGGAGGTTTCTTGGAGTCACCGGTTTTTCAACTTACCTGGCCTCTTAGGCACTTGGTTACCTAGGTTGCTGTGAACTGCATCCGTGGGTTTGTGCATTCCGAACTTGCGCCGGATATTTTGGACATTGACATTGATGTTTGCAACGCGCACTGTCACCGTAGAACCCTAGAATCCGGTAAATCTACTTTATATTTTTATTTTTTATACTTGGTTTCCGGTTCATACTAATGCTAATTCTGTACTGACTGAGATTCTTGGGGGCTTGGGCAACCAAACCGCGCCGTACAACCACAACTTACGCTCTAGTGTGCGGTGTGTGTGTGACTGAGACTGGCTATGTCAGGACGAAGAAGAGCGAGCCCTAGCTGAGCCTGTGCAGGAAGAAGACAGTGAGAAAGAGGTCGAGGATGAGAAGGAGAACAACAGTTCGGATGAAGATGACTGGGGTGTGGCGCAGAAAGGCCCCGGGAAGGCCAAGCAGAAGCAGGCTCAGCCCAAGAGGAGGCCAAAGGCAGCGGCGCCTTCAACAAGCGGCACTGAGAAGAGCGAGCGTGGTGGTGAAGGTGGTGGTGAAGGGGAGGAATCGATGCCGCCACCGCCGCCACCGAAACCTTCAGCCAATGTTCCAAAGAATGTGGACAAACTGGTGGCTCAATCTGGCACAGTGACTCACATGCTGCAGCAAGTGAACCCGCTTCTTGTCTGGCAAAACCCAGGGAAGTTCAAGGACTGCGAGAGCAAGCCTGAGAAGGCTACTGCATACCTAGCTGGGTTGGAGGCGGCTGAGCAAACAGAGAAGGTTCGTGAGGCCAGGCGTCAGCTGTTCAAGGTTGCCAAGGATTTGGACAATTGGTGCAACTTGGTCAACAACATCAAGGCGTCCTTTCTGCACGAGACGTCAGATGTCCACGACTTTATGAACTACATTGCCGAGAATTTGACCAGGATCACCAAGCTCCTTGCACTGCAGAGTGCAGAGTGCGTGAAGCTTGCGCTGGTAGAACTTGGGCGGCTTTATGCAGAGGTACGGGGTACTTGTTGAACATCACACTGAAAATCAATGTTTACGTTTTGAAGATTGGATTCTAAGCGCGCTGTCACTGACGACCTGTTTTTTCCATTCCCCTTGAAGGCTAGTGTCGTCCCGGGCCCCTTGACGGATGGATACCGGTCCGCGCTTTTCCAATTTTTGTCCATGGAAGAGCTGGAGCAGTACAAGAGCTTCAGCCACATCTCCTTTGGCAAGATTTTTGCTGCTGGTACGGATGCTGGCAACAAAGCTTTGGACAAGAACTTCTTTCTGCAGGTGCAGGCCTCCATCTTCAATGGTTGGCTGGACAGATTGCGCACTGCCTCTGACGAAGCCACCCACGCTTTGCTGCTCCACTTGCCCAAAGAGTTCAAACATTTGCCTGTGTTGAGGACATGGGTTCATGGATGTGCAAGCTGGCTTCTGTCAGACAAATGAATTGGTTGCAGCTGTGCAGTTGTGTTTTGGTTCGAAACTAGGACCTATAGGAGTATGGTCAATAGTCATCTGTTGACTATGCAAATCAATTCAATTGCTTTTTTGTGAGACGCCCCTAGCCCCTAAACCCTTGACTGCGGAATGATCAAAAAATGTTTCATTTCATCCTGTCAGGAGGGACTTGCCTGAAAACATGCACGTTCTTGAGCTTGAGGGGGCCGAGTTCAAGAATACATCAGGCCTTGGCCTGCGCGTCCTTGTGGACATGCAGAAACTCGTTGTTTGCGGTATGCTTGATCCTCATGAGTCCAGCGCGCCGGAGCATTTTCACCCGGAGCAGAAGCAAGAAGTCAAGGTGGCCATTTCTGCGTCTGCAGTCTTCTCAGCAAAGGTGAATCTCATCTTTCGAAGCAATGCAGTTCTTAGGAGGGGAGGGGATGGTTAGGGGATGGGATGGTGCTGTAGTGACAGCGCTGCACCCCTATACTGAGAACAACCTGAAGGTTGTGAACATTTCCTCCAATTGAGGGGGGCTCCAACGCTCAAACATGCTGGGGCAACTAGTTGTTTCTTTTTTCAAAGTAGGAGAGTTGGGCACGTGGGAGCCCGGCAGGAGGCTTTGGGAACATGCTGTGTCTGTATCCAAGAACATTCTCACAGAGAAGAAGGCGGAGGAAGTTTCAGCCACAGTTCTTGGAAATGTCCAGAAGCTCAATTCCTTTCTGGATACTCCAGACTGCAGCCCGTCAGAAGAGTTCCAGGAATTGCTCAGCGGGTGCAAAGATCTGATGGATGTTGCCTCTGCGATGGGCTTGCTCAAAGGAGACTCCGGATCAGCCACTGAGCAGCCAGAGGTTAATGCTGAGATTGGCAAGGCTCTGAATGAACTCAGAGAGAAAATGAAGACCTTCGCCATGGAGTCCATGACAAAGCTTGGCGATTGGTTCACTGCGCAGTGGCCACTGAAGCCAGAGGCTCCTGGCTTTGATGTGACTCAGAAGGAGAACTTCAGCGCCCTGACTTCAATTTTGAAGACCCGAGGCCAGGGTGAGGAAACGTGTTTTGTTTTTTCCCCAAACAGTTTACTGTTGGGGTTCTATCTTAGAAAGAAAAGAGCTGGCCACACTCACTGGCCGCGCCCCTGAACTCTGTGGCTGGGCTCCGTGGCTGGGCTCTGTGGCTGGGCCTTGTCCTCCTCTTGTCCTCCTAGTACACAGCAACTCTGTGGCTGGGCTCTGTGGCCCGGCTCTGTGTCCGGGTCTTGTCCTCCTCTTGTCCTTGTCTTGGCCGCGCCCCTGAACTCTGTGGCTGGGCTCTGTGGCCCGGCTCTGCGTCCGCACCTTTCCAAGAAGGACAAAATAAAAACTAGGGTCACTCAAAAAGTTTTTTGTTTTCAGTTTTCTGAGCTTAGTTTGCTATATCTCCATCCACCTCCCATATATATAAATAATGAGCAGCTCTCCGCCATTTTGATCCTCGCTTAGTTTTCTATATCTTCTTCCACCTCCCATATTTATGAATACTAGCTGCTCCTCCAAAAATGTTTCAGTGTTTCAGTGTCAATTCCGACAAAAATTCATTGATGAAGTAGTTTGCTCTTGGGGTGAAAGTAGGGCGAACCAAGAAATCGTTTTTTGACTAATATTGGTCTTAAACGAATCGTTGAATCGTTTTGAAGCTGTTTGGGGTCTATGCTTGTATAATTTGGCAACTCTGTTTCTGTTACAAAGAAAGTCTGTCTGTGACAGTGCTGAGTGGAATGGGATAATCAAGATGGTTCCTTCCTGATGTCCGGCATTCAATACATTGATGTTGACTTGATTGATGTTTTGTTTTGCCCACTTATCTAGAATGAGAATGTGCCTGTGAGTCATTCTGAGTCATTCTTCGACGCATTGTGCACAACAGGCCAGATTTGCACCACCGTGTTGAAAGAAGACCCAGAGATGTACTTGCGCTTGCTCTGGGTCATTGAGAAAGTGGAGGGGTTCATTGGCCAAGGGGCTTCTTTGTCAAATGCCTGGAAGCTGAGCAAAGGCATCCACGATGATCTGCGCGTGGCTCGGATGCCTGTGTATCAGAGTGGAAGCTGGGCCAGCCCATGCACCCGGGCAAGCTTGAGATTGAAGCAGTTGGTGGTTCAGCAGGGTCCAAACATCATCACAAAGCTCATCCAGGATAAGAATAAGGACGGTATCAACGAGGCAAAGTCAATGCTGTGTGGCTTGGAGGACTTGGAAGGCCGTCTGCTTGGCATGAGGTCAGTCCTTGAGGACCAGGGCAATTTCGAGGTCTATTCCAAGGACGCGCCGAATGATTTGGTCCAGATCTGCAAGCATGCTTCAGCAATCGCGAAGGCTGTCAACTATGACATGGATACCCTCCAAGCAGTCAAGCCCGAGGCGAAGTCAGCCATCGAGGACTACTTGGAGAAAGTGAGGAGCTACCTGAACATGATCATTGGCAACATTGAGAGGGATGGTGCTAAGTGGGAAAAGATTGTGCTGCGGTACAAGCCGCTCATTCTCAGCTTAGTAAGTTCAATGTTGCTTTGGCCGCTGCCCCTATTCATAGATTCAATAGGCCTGCCGCCTGCCTATTAAACTTATGAACTTATGGCCTCACCAGAAACTAAGAAAAGAGATTAGTCTTCCTGGTTCTGTGGGCGATGTCAGGCCAGTGATTGCAGTGGCAGAAATGTGGCAAGCTGAGAGGCTTGCTGAGATCAATTGGATGTTTACCAGCAATGAGGATGTGGACAAAGACACCAAGTCCATGGTCACCTTCAGAGACGAGCTGCCTTGCCACTTGCAGCCAATGAAGGGGATCGTTGCGTGCAAAGCCGCTTTGAGGGCTGATCAGAAGCTTTACGAAGTGGTTGATATGCTACATTCGTTGCGCAAAAGATCGAGGACTGGCAACTGGCCGGCCTTTGAAACAGGGTTGCGCCAGAGTCCAGAGTTGTTGTTGAACTATTGCCTGGGCATCATTTTTTCAACCTGCTTGTAAGTAAGACTGCCAACATGACAGTGACAGCAAGTCAAAAATCGATCGGTTGGTCAGGAGCTGGCCAGCTTGAGCGCCAACGTGGTTGGCACTATGATGGCGATGGAAGTGGTGGTGAACGCAGACAAGTACGAAGACAAGCTTGCCACTACAAGAAAGATATGCAGCTTCCTCAGCAAGAAGCTGGGAATGTCCAAGAATGATTTGTGCCCAGCACTCAAGTCCAAATTCGATGAAGTGGCAGCCATTCCGAGCCTCGAAGTGAGCTGGAGCTGTTTCGTTAGTTTGTTTGTCAACTTGGGATGGTTCAGGATGGTTATGCTCAGAGCGGGCCTACTCGCGCACCATATAGTTGCGAAGTGTTTGGGTCAGGGTTTGGAGAACTAATTAGGTTCAAGGTCCTTCAAAGTTGCTTTGGTTCGGGTCAGGTGTTGGGAAAGTAATTGTGATGAGTTTCATTCAGACAGACAATTCATTTGACTCGGTCAGTACTATCCGGCTTTTGAAGTTTCAATGTTTCCCATTTCATCATGCCATTCATGGGACGTTTTGAGCTGCCAGGAAGGCGGCGCCTGCTCCAGAAGATGGAAAAGCAGCAAAGCGCCCCCGTCGTGCTGAAGCGGTTTCTCAGGGACCAAAGGGTTCGCAAAAGCGAACCAATTCTTCAAGTAGCAAGGCATCCGGTCAAACCGATGGCCCTGGCGCCAAAAGGGCGAAGGGAAAGAAGTGAATTGAAGTTTGGACCTTAGATATGATATGGTCCTGGCTCAATGCGGTTTTGTTCGTCCGCAAGCTGTTGGCCTTCCAGCAGCGACAACTGGGGACTGGGGGTGAGGAGAAAACAAGTTCAATTTTCAGTGCGTGCAGACAGAGAGTTCAAGGCGTGCTGTGCCCTCCCCTTCTTTGTTAGAGGAAATGTAAATAGATAGTAATATAATATAGTATAGTTTTATATTTGCAAATAGCTTCTGTTCTTTTTGGAAGTAGCTTCCTTTATGTTTTTGTCTACACGCCAATGCCTAGCAATTATTTGCAAATGGCTTCAAGTAGCTTCACACCTTTCCCATCTCCCCACAGACAAAGAGGCCAACCCACTAGTCAATGCATATGAAATTCTAATCACGAAAGGTGTTCTCCGAGGGGATAAATCACCATGTCGAACATTGCATTTTTGTTCCTGCCTCTCGCTTCCTCTTCTCTTCCCGCTGTCCTACCTTTCGTGTCTCCTTCCTCTCAAGTTCGTTACTTTGGCGTTTTGAACACAGTGGAATCCGGACAAGGAACTGTCGGCAGGAAACTGGGGGGCAAGGAGTTGGAGACAGGAATTTGGGGCAGGGAACTGCGGACCATGTTTCCCCAGAGACTTCAGTGCATAGCTGTTGAGGCCACCAACCTTTTTGGATGCGGCAAACGTTTTGTCTATGGCAGTCCACTTGCCTCCATACTGTCACGATCTCCATCACTCCGTTGCCTGCTTCAACCGGTTGCCCTTTTGCACCGAATATCTTTCGTCACTTTGGGGCTTGCCGGCTTTGCCATTGCTATTAGGTTGGATGGAGGCCATCGCTACTAGGGTGGAGGCCATCCGTGTTAGGTTCCTGATTTTTTGTTTCTTCTACCTTCACTGATGTTTAGCCTTCTTCACGCACCCTGAGCGTGAACCATGTTGGAACTAGGTGAACTCAGCCCGTCAAATTCATGTAGCGCAGTCCCCCCAACTCCAGTGGGCTCAGGCCACCTCAGTGGCAACATACCCTGGGATTTTTTTTGGGGGGCCACACGCGTGCAGGTGGGTCGCGTGCTTGAGTTGACGGTGCCGGAGCTTGGCTTGATGGGCCCTCCCCAAACTGTAAGTTGCTTTCGTTGTTCTGCAGGTTTGTCTTAGGAAGGTTCCACAGCTAAGTCCCGAGAATCGAAACAAAGAGAGGGAAACGGCCGCATGGCCGCACAACGGCTCGAACATGGTCGTTCTGACAAACCAGGAAGGTTTCGCAGTGACGATTTGTGCACTGCCGGTGCATTGATTGGCGACATCCTGCAAGAACTCCATTGCAAAAATGTTCATTTTCAGGTGTTGAGGTCGTTTTTCTTCTCCCTCACGTAGGTCTGACATAGACTGGCCATTTGTTCTTGCACCAATCCGCACCCGAAAGGCACTATTTATTTTTCGAAACATGCAGGAACAGGTGTAACTGATTTGGTTCAACAATGTGCCCGGCAAGGCATGGAGCGCCATACCTAGCATCAAGGCGTTTTTTCAATCTCGCGGCTCTTTCCCGCAGGTCCGAGCCGGGTTGTCCTGGAGAAACGCGAGTGTAGTCCCGGCGTTCCTGAAAATCGTCTTTCGGATTTTAACTGCGTTAGATGTTGCAGTGTTCATGAGACAAGTCAAGGGGCCTCTCGCGGTAGGAGAAGCAGCTCCCTGGCCTTCCGCAATTTTTTTCCTCAGGTGCCTCGCGTATTCTCTGACGTTGCCCTCGCGCCCAAATAAAGATCATCCACACGCTGTGAGGGGACAGCAAATCGTGGATGAACAGCTAAGTTCGTTGAATACGGCCGCGTTTCATGCCATGCTCTTTGCATGGTGTGGCGAACAGTTGGAAGCTGCTGTTAGGTGTCCATTCTTTCTGACATAGGCATTCTCAAGGTTTTGGCGCCATGACAAATATGTCTTTGAGGGTTTGAACCATCACATTGCCGTTGTGCGTTGGCCTTGACGTGGGCGTGTTCTTTTGGCAATAGCATTCTTTCTGCAATTGAACACCGCCGGAAATCGCCGTCCCACCAACACCGCCCACAGGAACCAGCCGCCCATCTCCAGACGTTGCTTCCAGTCAGAACACCACGGCCAGGATCCGAAGTCACAGCTGAAACTTTCAGCCAAAGAGCACGGGGGGGAGGACGTCCGGACGTGGACACGCGTCGAAAGTGTGGAGGACTTCACACCCGATGGGGAAAGGCCTTCCGAAGGATTTCGTGTGACAAATAGTCGCACTTTGGGAATCTTGAGCGTCTCTAGCGCCCTCGAAGAGAAGACACTCGGAAGCACCAACACCAATGGTCGGAAGATGCACAGGACGAGGAAGGCCCAGAAGGACAACAATCATTTCCATGAGATGTAGAGGGCGTCAGGCAAGCGAGGTGAAATAGAGCTAGGCCAAAAATGCTGCATTCAGACAAGGTGACTATAAAGGATGTACAGCGAAAGTGCAAGGAAAAAGGGTTGCCTCACACAGGAAGACATAGGAGGTTGTTGGACCACTTGCAGCCTCCGGATTTTGCAGAATTTCCAACGCTCAAAATTAGAAGATTAGTTGACTGAACTACAAACGAAGGTATTGAAAGTGTAGAGGCTCGAGGTGCCATGCCGACGGCTCACGCACACCTTTTCCAACACGTCCATGTCCGCACCCAATCCCCCCGGATTCGCGGAAAGCACAACGTTCGCCACCTTTTTCCTCGCGGGTTCAGCTGCGCGGGCCAATGCAGCTAGGGTGGGCGCTCTCAGCGGTCGAGAAGGACAGGTCGAGGCGCCCTCGCCCTCGACGTTGGCCGCAGCGGCCGCGCACCGGGCCGCGAAGGCAAGCAGGGCAGCCCAGCTCCGGACCCACGCGGCAGGAAGGTGGGGCCGCCCCAGCGCGGGTGCCTGCCAACCGTTTCTGTTTGATGAACTTGGTATTTCATGCTTGCGAAATTCGGCTCGTTGAGGTGCATGATTTCAAGTTCCTGAACCGTATGGGCCCCAGAGCTTTGAAACGCCGCAATGGACTGGCAGAAGGCCTTCTGATGGAGCACTTGTGCCATGGGAATTCCCCGTTGGACCGACGCGATGCCGATTGGTCTTCATCAATGTCTGTCTCGTCGTCGGCCTCGAGGTTTGTGGCCGAGCACCAAAGCCGCCACCTTCGTCCGCCTTCTGGCCAAGGCGCGCGCGTTCGCACACACGCGGCGCAACAAAACCTAAGGTCACTGCGTGACAAATGCCGTCTACAACCGCTTCTCGCATGCGTGTCGACAACGTTGTGGCCAACGCCATGAGAATGGCTACCTCCACTCCGGAAGTTTCAGGAACCTTCCTACTCCAACAGGTAGGCAACCTCAAGGAAGTCGCAAAAACGATTTTTCCTCGACGTGCGTTAGTGACTGGGGGCAAAGGTGCAGGCGCCTCAGTGCTCCCAACCAAGTATGCCACTTATACAAAGTGAAAGCAGCCCTTTGAAGCCAACCGCTTGATGGGACTGACTCCACAACCCCAGCTGGCGTGAGGATGATGTGGTGGTTGGCATGGTACGAACGGTCCCCAACCTTCTCTCGAACAGGCGCCCTTGTATTACACCAATTTGTTGAACACCGGTTCGCCAAACAAGGCCAGCTGTAGTTTGTGTGGATTCTCTTTTCCCAGGCCCAGTTAAAAGCCGGTTTGTGCCGTGCATGAGCATTTTCTGTGGCGCGTCACAAAGTGTTGTTTTCCCTCCACGGTGTTGCGCTGGACAACTACATTTGATCCTGATCCTCTCCGCGCGCCTTCCGTGCCAAAGGGCATCGTGCCTGAAAACTGTGTGTGTCGCGTGGTTTCAGCAGCGTGTTGGTGAACCAGGTGCGTGGCATCCCTCGCGTACACATTTGCAAAAAATATTCTGGCGCAAAACGCGCGCAACAACAGCAGATTATTGTGACATGCTGGGGGTGTCCTTGCTGGCCGCTTTTGTCATGACACAACTGAATGGGAACAATTCTTCGTGCACCATTTTGTTGAAAACCGCAGTCCCCCTGCTTTGTTTTCAAGGACCTGTTTGATGCTTGCGAGAAAGGTTCGGGCGAGCCAACCATTAGAGTTCGGCATTTGATTTTGGAACTATTTTTGCGACAACAAGAACTTAAAGGAGAAACACTCCTGATTTTGCTGTAGCTCCCACCTCCCACATAGTGATACCAACCTGCTTGGACCTGGCTGAACGCAGGTCCTGTTGAACACCCTGTACGTCTTGGCTGATGTCTCTTCCTTCACCTTGTTCACAATAGTTTTCATGTGATTCAGCATCTCCCACTCTCCAGGCTCGATTGTTGGCTCCT